TGATGGTGGAATTGATTACTTTGTTTTATACCATCCTCCCTTTTCATATCTAATGCGTCTCCTCCTCTTTCTCCCCTCCTCCTCCTCCTCCTCCTCCCACTCAATTAGACAGATACCGCAACGGAATGTAGAAAATGCAATAGTACTACAACAAGGTTAAATGAATTCATTCTTTCTATTATCAATAATGATAATAGTGATATCAGTAGTGATAATAGTGATATCATGTTTCCATCATGAAATGGGCAAATCTGACAATCATCCTATTAAACCTATATCAATTATGGTTAGCCTTTTTTTTTTTTTCAGCTTCTATCATATTTGGCTATTTATTTTCTTGGCTTAAAATATATTTGGGACAAAAAAAAAAAATGTTGACAATTATGATAGTGATGTATAGATGGAACAAAAATGATGATAAAATGAAGGAAAGAAAGAGAGGAAAAAAAAAATAAAACTAAAACAGAAACTATTAAAATGGAAAAAAAAAAGAAATTTCGATGAAAGCACTCTTACTACATCATTATTTTGAATTATATTTCTCATTTATTTAAAAAATTTTCGAAATGATTAAATTGCTAAAATTTCAGTAACAATAATGAAATAATTCAAAGAAAAGAAGAAAAAAAGAAAAAGAAAATAATTTCGTTCATGAAGAGAAAAGAGAAAAAAAGAAGAAAAGAAAAGAAAAGAAAATTTAAACAATAACAAGTAAACGGGACAAAATGATGATGACAGGAAAAAGAAATTGTATTTAAATGATTTGGATGGTTTTGTTCTCGTAACACAAAAATGAACAAACAAATAATCCATTTCCTTTTTTTTTTTTTTTTCATCCGAAATATCGAATAGTTTGATTGAATGAAATGGTTGAATGAATTGATAAAAAATAAGGGAGGAATAATTTCAGTATCTGATAAATACAATGTAAAAATTATTTACTACAAACAATACCAGCAAGTGCAACAATAACAGTGGCAGTAACAACAACAGCAACAACAACAACAACAATAATAACAGTAACAACAATATCAACAACAATAGTAGTAGTAGTAGTAGTAGTAATAGTAGTAGCAAAAACAAATAGCAATAACAAGAACAGTAGCAATAATAATAATGGCAATAGCATAGCCAAGACCAACAACAGTAACAATAAGCAGCACCTGCTAGTAGCAACAACAACAATAACAACAACAACAACAACAACAACAACAGCAACAGAACATTGACAATAGCAGCAACAATAACAGTAGCAATAGCAGCAATAGCAGTAACAATGGCAACAGTAGCAACAATAACAGTAACAACAACAGTAATAACATTTCATTGAACAGTTTTATTCTAATTAAAAAAAAAAAAATTTGCAATGAAATGAAAAAGAAAAGATGGAAATGCAAAACGTGCCTAATTTGTTATTGATAATGATATCTGATAATGATATGTGCTATTATTATAATTAATTAATTATTTATGTAATTTGGAAAGAGGAAAATTTGTCGAAAGAATATTTTCAATTATTATTCGTTTAATGGTTTCGATTTTTTTTTGTGCTGAGGAAAAAAAATGAATTAATTTTTTTTTAAAAAAAAACACATTCTTTATGATGAAATTAAATCATTTTAAAATAATAAATTAACATAAGCGAATAATTGCTAAATTATTAAAATTAATTAATTATTTATGTAATTTGGAACGTGGAAGAAAATTTGTCAAAGGAATATTATCATTATCGTTATCCTGCTGCTTTTATCAATTTTCTTTTCTTTATCATAAACAATCTTGTTGTGTAAAAAGTGATAATTAGGTATTAATTAGATAATTACATATCAATTAGATTATGAGTGATATAACACTATTAACTGTTTTTAAATTTGTATTATCAGAAATTAAAGCATTTGTATTATCAGGAATAAAGTCAGGAAAAAGGAAAAAACTCGATTTTTTTTCCTGGAAATTTGATTTAATCAAACAATGATTTAAGACTTTGGCCAAATTTTTCCGGATCAAATGAAAGTTTCATTTTAGGAATTTCTCATTTTGCATTATAATGTTTCCGGAGAAACCGGAAGTGATAAAATGATTTACAGGAAGGCTTGAATTTATTTATTATTCCAAAGAAAAAAAAATTGATAGAACTTTTTTGTTTTCTTTCGTGTTAAAATAAATTTATCATTTGATTGTACTATCAAAATGTTATATTTTGAGCCAACAAAAAACAGGTAACAATTCAGAATTAATTTTAAAAATTTAAAATCATTTTATATTTAAGATTATTTTATAACAACGATCATCTTACGATCATTTTTAACAAATCATGAATTGTTTTAAGATTGTTTTAAAAACTGAAAGATCATTTTTAAAATCTTTTAACAATTATGGTCATTTATCAAATTTGCAAAAACTTATTTTAATTTTTGAAATTTGATAAAAATAATGAAATTACAAACCATATGAATAGTTATTTCTTAACTATTTGAGTGTAACAATAAAATGAATGTTAAATTTCTAACCATCCAATGCATATAAACCTTGAAAATAATAAAACGGTGATAGTTGTTATATTTGGTCGTTATTTTCGCTGTCATCAAGGTCAATTGGATGAGATGACCCCTTCTTTTTCTTCGTCCTCTTCTTTTTCTTCTGCTATGACAAAGTCAAATGATGAAAATTTTCATCAAACTCTTTGAGTAACATATACTACCAATGATTTCTCTCTTTTTCCTTCTTTTCTTTTCTTTTTTTTTTTTAAATTTAAATCCGATTGACACCATAATTCAACGAATATAATTTGCATACAAATGTGTTCAAAGAGTTGGAAAAAAAAAAAAACGAAAAAGTGATTACATATCTGAAATATAAAATGATGAAAATTTTGTTAACAAAATACTGCTATTATTGATAACAATGATAATGATATGATAATTTATGTGTTCTATTTAACAATCGGATATTGATTATCATTTGATAATGAAAACGAAATTATATCATTCAGGCAATAATTTTTTTTTTTTTTATTGAAGTGGTTACTTTTATTTTTTTTTTTTTTTTTTGGTCCTCATGACATTTTGATTTATTTTAATAATGAATTTTTTTTTTTGTCTTTTCATAATTCCTAAATTTTTTGATACTTTATGACATTGCATACTTTTGTCATCAAAAATGCATTTTAGAGGATTAAAAGAGTAGTAATTTTTAATTAGTAATAGAATTATAATAGCTTGTAAAAATTAATAAATGATTATTGGAATAGCAGAAAAAAATCATATTTTTATCAACTTTACAGATATATTGTAACAATGATAATAATTATGATAACATTACTATTCCTTTTAAAAGTTATATAAATTATCATTATTATTACTCTATGAATACATTACATTGTTTATCTGATACCCTAAACACTGTATTTTTAATCTTAACACTGATAATCTTAACATTATATTTTCCTTTTTAAAATTATATAAATCATCATTTTTTATCACCATACGAATGCATAATAATGATTGGCTAATAATCATGATAAAAGTGGTTATTTTGAAAAGTTATATAAATATCAATTTTAATAGTTTTATAAATATCAATTTTAATAATTAATAATAATTATTAATTTTAATAATTTTATACACAAAATCATACTGATAAGCAAAAAAAACAATCATTTGCTAACATTGCATGCAATGAAAAGTTAGTAAGTAATCAATGATAATAGTGATAATATTCATCACATTAAATAACTAACGATCGATATTATTTTAATGCGCGAAAAAAGATGACAATCAATGATGTGACAGAAAAAAAAAAAATTCCTCGAAAATTTTTGTTAGCATTATTTTATGACAATTTTTTTTTTTTTTTAAATTTATCATATTAAAAGAATAAGAAAAAAAAAATTTGGGCGAAAGTATTAGATAGAAATATGAAGCAATGAAAAAATAAAATTAAAAAAAAAAAGAAAAAATTGAAGAAAAGAAAATTGCCGGCGCAATGTGGAATGGCGCAATGTTCTTCCTATTTTGCTCAAATTAAAATTATCGGACATTTGGGTCGCCCACAAAAAATTCTAATTCTAAACATCAAATATGCAATCGAAATCATTTTCATCATCAAAAGAATATCGAAATAAAATGGCATTATTTGTATCATTGAATAATTTATTATCATAAATTAATTAAATCACTAAATTAAATGATCTAATTTTTGCAAATTTATTATTGAATGAAAATAATTGAAAAAAAACATTTCATTAGCATTTATTTGAGAAAAACAAAAGAAAAAAAGTGATTGAATTAAATATGGAAGTGAAAAATCAATAAAAATTTAATTTATTAAATTTGTAGATTTTTTGAAATAGATAATTCCTCTTTTTTTTTTTTTTAAATAGGTAATTAAGTATGCATAGACAATTAAGGTGATTGCATTGTATGAGAAGTTTAGAAGATAAAAAAGTGAAAAATAATTTTTATTTATGCTAATTTTCACATGAGATTTCATCGAGATTTACCAAATTGACTGATTCAAAATGTTTTAATCTCTTTGTTGCCTTATTACTGCATACTTTATCGCTTATCATATATTAATTAGCATTTATTACTTTTCACTAAATCTTTCATAATTATTTAATTTCCAATTGGCATTTATTACTTTTCCACTAAATTTTTCATAATTGTTTATTATTCAATTAGCACTTATTACTTTTTCACTAAATCTTTCATAATTATTTAATTTCCAATTAGCATTTATTAGTTTTCCGCTAAATTTTTCCTAATTATTTATTATTCAATTAGCATTTATTGCTTTTTCATTAAATCTTTCATATTTATTTATTTTTCAATTAGCATTTATTACTTTTTCACTAGACCTTTTATAATTATTTAATTTCCAATTAACATTTATTACTTTCCCACTAAATTTTT